AGGAGCCGGGCGGCCCCGCCTGCAGGGGGCGGGGAGCCGCCGACCCCTCCTCCCCGAAGGGACGGGGTGCGGGGGCCACCCGGGGGCCCGCCCAGCCCAGCCCAGCCCCAGCTGGAGGCACAGACGTGCTGAGGGGGTCGAGCGACCTCGTCCTGCAGAGGGGCGTGAAGGCCACTGCTTCTCCTGGCCTGGAGGTGCCATCCCGGGGGGCCGGGCGCTCCGGGACGCGGGGCGCAGGTGACGGCCGCCCCTGAGCCCTGCTCCGGCTCCCCGCCCCACCCCCACTCAGAGTGATTAGAGTGTAAAGGACGACACGACCCAGCCGCCAGAGCGTGAGGACTCCATAAAGGGGAGTGGGCCTGATTGCTGCTGCTGTTTTAGTCTCAGCTCTGTTCACATTTTTTAAACTTTATTGAAGTATAAATACGCACAGAAAAGTGCACCTGTCGTGAGTGCACAGATCAATACATTTTCGTAAGACCTTTTGGCACAAAATAACCAGCACCCAGACCAAGCAGCAGAGCTTCCCCAGCCACACACTCTAGGCTCCCCCTTGCCAGCCACCCCCTGCAAGGGCGCCGCGGTCCTGACCTCTAACTGCATGGATTACTTTTGCCTGGTCTTGTACTTTATGTAAGTAAAATCAAGCAGTACTCGGACAGTATTTTAATGGTTACAAAACCCTTTGCACTGCAAAGGGTCTCGAAGAGGTGGCCACGACTCCCCCAGGTACTCAGTGCCCCTGAGCCTGCTCTAGACCCCATCCCTCCTTGCACACTGGTAGCAGGAGTTCTTGGGTTGATAAGACTTAGGTATAGAATAGCCACTTGTCGATGGGCTTGGTCCCTCCCTCCCAGGCTGAGGTGGGCTCCCCTGACCCTCTGACTCCCTGACCCCTTCCCCAGGCCTCCAGTAGGAGCACAGTGATAGCTTTCCTGCAAGGATCCCTTACATGAGCTGAAACCTGGGACTCACAGGTGACCAGAACCCAGTCTCTGCCCCAAGGACTCTTGGCTGAGGGAACTGTAGTGGGTCCCAGATCTTCTGGGCTCTTCTGTTCAGCAAACACACATCAAAGGTGCCAAGTGTCAATCCCTGGGCTGGGACCCATCGGTGACCCTGGCAAATCTTGGGCCTGGTGGGAGGGGTTGCCCTTTTGGAGGCAGTACATCTGCAGTGCACTGGGGAGGGGGCTCTCAGGGAAGGAGCTGTGTTTGGGACCATCTGCACAGAGGGCTCATGTGGGTGTCCCAAGGTGCCAGGAAGCAATTGCTTAGTGTCCCTCAGTCTCCTCTTTGTGCAGACATTTTCCAGTGTGACTCTGGGAGTCTGGAGGAGAAGGGACCCCTGCCTGCCACAGGAACTCTGGGGACTCTCAGGCCTGTCCAGCCTCACCCCCACAGTGCTGATTTCCATCTTGGAATCTCTGCTTCTTCAGCTTTTCAACGGGCCAGGAACACCTGTCCTGCTTCTAGGCTAGAAGCAGGGGCAGCCAAGGTGGGAGATGGCCCTGCAAGGACTCTGATGAGGTCCCTGGGGTCAGTGGTCCTCCTGGTCCCCAGCCCCAGCCCTGCCTGCCGAGATAGCCGACTCGAGGGTCGGGGAGTCAGCACTGTTGTCCCCCACGACTCCAGCAGCCCCTTCCTCTGCCATCTGGATTTCCATGGGCACCTGGAGCCCCTCAGCCAGCAGTGGGAGAGCTTCCCATGCACCCCGCCTGGGACTTTTCTAACTGAGCAGGACAACATCCCCTGTTGGCTCCAGGCAGCTTCCAGGTCCCAGAGTACTCAAGACTCGGGGTCTGGGGTCAGCTTCTATCATCCTTTGCCTCTGACCTCTGGATTCTGGCTCCATATTCTGGGGGCCGAGCTACTTGCTCCACCACCAGGGTCTGGAACTGCCTTAGCAGTTCTCTACATCCCACCCTGACTGCTCCAAGCCATGGTCGCTGTGGCTGCCAGGGAGTTGTCAACCCTTGGGTTCTGGAGTTTTTTGTCCTGGTCCTTGCAGGCGCTGCGGTTTAGCTGTCTGAGCTCTCTGGCCTCTCACCCCTTGGTTTTAGCATGCTCGAGGTGCTCAGTCTGCTTTCTAGACCTCACAGTCTGCACTGCTTGGTCCTCACTCCCCTGGAGGTAGCTTCCCCTGCACTCAGCTCTAAAGATGCCACTTTCAAGTCTGCCTGGGTGAGTTCCTCTCTCCCAGAGACTGCAAACAGAAAAAAAGGTCAGGATTTTGGTAGCTCTCAGGGCCCAGAGATGGGACTCTGGGGGCTTGGCGGGGGGCAGGGGGACTCAGGCATGGGGACAAGTAGTTCCCACAAGCCTGCTCCCCTCCTGACCATCTGCCCCCATCTATAGCCTTTGCAGAAAGGGCGGGCCTGGTAAGGGGGATATATTGTACCAGGTGATGTCATACCCTGGACGTAGTTAATTGGGCCAGAGGTGGCCACCTAGCCTAGCTCAGCCAATCAAATCTGCTCTCCTGAGAGTGTGAATTAATTTTTTTGTTTGTTTTTTTGGCTGGCCAGTACAGGGATCAAACCCTGAACCTTGGTGCTGAGAGAATGAACTGTGATGGGCAACTCCTATTAGGCCCTGGATCCCTGAGATCATGCGGAATCCGTCTGCGTGGGCACGAGGCCCCAAGATTGTTGGCGAACAGGGACAAAGGGACCTGCAGAAGCAGCTGATCAGTGGAGACAACCCTAGAGCAGAGAGGGAGGGAGAAGGTGGCTGCGTGACAGTGGGACAGCTCCTGGGGGCACTGCCTCCTTGCGGTACCCACTCTTATTTGGGTTAGTCTGGGTTTGTGTCCACCCCTTGACCTTAGCCAGACCCCCACTGATCTGGAACCCTGAACTTCACCCCGACCCCACCCTGGTGCCAGAGACTGTCACCCCGGTTCTGAAACAGCCCAGCTGCCCTCATGAATCCTCTGGCCCCCACTGTGCCCGGGAAAGCCCGGGCCCCTCAGCCAGCAGACAAGCCCACTCGCCAGTCCCCCACCCCTGTCTTAGTCACAGGACACAGCTTTGGCTTCTCCCCACCCCCCCAACACAATCTCTACCAGAACTGGCCGCCAGGGCGCTGGGCAGAAGCTGCCGGCAGACATGTTTTGTTTGGCTGAGCCCAGTGTTTCAAAAGAATTTGAATTAGTTGCCAACTTAGAAAAGTTAGGAGATTTCACATAAAAATCCAGATTTCTGGCTTCTCTTGACAAACCAGAGGAGCCTGGCAGCTCTGGAGCCATAGTCCTGATGGCTCCAGTTTCCCGAGTTGTGTCTGCCTTAGACCAGCACAAACCCTTCCACCTTCCACAGTCTCCACCACTCCCTGTCGCCTCACCCCAGGCCCCTGACTTGCTACTACTCCGCTCCTCCCACAGCTGAGCTTCTGGCCTCGACCCCGCCTTCCTGGTCTGCCCCTTTGCCCTCCTACAACATCCCCCCATCGCTGTCTGCTGACATCCTGCTGCTCCTCAAGGCCCAAGTTGAATGCTGCTTCCTTCTGGAAGGCCTCCCCGTTGCAACATGTCCAAATTCCAGATGAATGTCTCCCCGCTTGACTTCCACTGTCCTGGGGCAGGCCTTTGAACTGACCTTTCATTTTTGACCTATCTTCCCCACCAGATCACTTCAGGAATGACTGACGATAAGCAAAGCGCTCACATGCTAAACCCTGCTGGGGACTCTGCTTCCCATAGACGGTCTCATTTCACCGTCTAACCTTGTGCAGGACCGTCTAATCCAAAATGGTACTCACTGCCACTGTAGCTACTGAGCACCTGCAGTGTGGCTAGTCCAAGGTGAAATGTACGTGTAAAGTACAGACCAGATCTTGAAGACTTTCTGGGAAAAAAGAATGTAAAATATCTCATTGATGATTTTTTTTATATTGATTACATGTTGAAATGGTAATGTTTG